CCGCCGTCAGCTGCTCCTATTTTCTGCTGTCGCTTTTGGCGCTCGGCCATCCAGAAACAAACCACTTCGATGACTCCTAATAGTTATCGCCAGATGTACTAATACACAACAAATCACGGTCCGGGAGAGGGGGAGAGCAAATGAGTTCCTATTTTGTGAATCCCACTTTCCCGGGGAGCCTGCCCGGGGGCCAGGACTCCTTCCTCGGGCAGATCCCCCTGTACCCGACGGGCTATGATGCTCTCAGGCATTTTCCGGCTTCGTACGGGGCAAGCAGCCTGCAGGACAAGACTTACACCTCACCTTGTTTCTACCAACAGTCCAACACCGTCATTGCTTGCAGTCGGGCTTCCTATGAGTACGGAGCCTCTTGTTTTTATTCGGACAAGGACATTAGTAGCGCCTCTCCTTCCGGCAGTGGCAAACAGAGGGGGCCCGGGGACTACCTGCACTTTTCTCCCGATCAACAGTACAAAACCAGCGGCGGCCAAGCCAAAATTATAAATGACGAAGGCACCGACCGGAAGTACACGAGCCCTGTTTACCCCTGGATGCAGCGGATGAACTCCTGCGCTGGTAAGGCATCTCGGTGCAGTCAAGGGCGGAGAGGGGAGGAAAAGGAAAAGTTTCTTTTTTTTTTTTTTTTTTTTCAAATGTACTATATGAGAACAGTCAAATGTTCTTTTTTTTTTTTTTTTCTTTTTTTTTTTTTCCTAGATAAAGTCCAGATTGCTGGAGAAACACGGTTCCTGCAGGGCAACATGTAACATGAAACCTTCGCAGGTTTAGACCTGGCACGTTGGCACCCAGGGAATGGTGGCCAAGGTCCCAGTATGATGTAGGTTTACTGGTGAAAGTTACAGGGGAATCCTTGGAAAGTAGGGGGAAAAAAAAGGAACAAAGCACTTTTATCACTCTCTTAAAGCCATCCCAAAGCCTCTGCTCTGCTTCTTCATTGTCAGAGAGCGATGCATGGAATATGCCCTCTGTACTGAGGATCCAGAGCATTTGTGGTACATTCCTCCTCGCCCCCCTCCCCCAGCTCATTAGCCTGTGAGTATTGGATATTGAGAGCACGTTTCTGGGGCCGTGGGCGCACTTCCATGGCATCGCGAATTTTTTCAGACTTAGGAGTGAACTTCACATAATTGAACTATTCTGTACAGGAGTGGTGCTGGGGGAATGGGGGTGGGGGTGGAGTGGGAGGGTTGTACTGGAGTGACATTTATTTTTTATAATCCCAAATTTAAACGTTTACTTCAAGTGTTCGCTAATGACTCGCCTTCTCTCCCATCCTCCCGAGTTTATGTTTGTAGCAGGGTAGGTCTCACAGCTTTTTTTGAAAATTAAACCTTTAGCAAGACCATTCCGATGCTGCTTTGCATTCAAGAGCAATAAATTCTGGAGCAAATGGCAAAACGCTCTTCTATGATCTTTAGCTGATGTCTATAATTATACTTAGAGACCTTCTGCAGTCCCAGCCATGGCAATGGCTGTGTGTTTGTGTCAACACAGCCACATGTGCGTGCACACACACACGCACAGAACATGCGTGAGGCTTCCCGGGCAGCACACATGTGCCTGTGCCTGTGTGTGCGCACAGAGCAGCCTCTGCCCGGCCACTCGCACCGTGCTGCCTCCCGCACCTTCCCCAGGTCCACCTCAAAGCCTCTTTGTATCCCACTTACCCCGTAAGTGCACTGCACATCTGCATTTACAGCTCGTCAGGCAGGAGAAAAGGAAAAGAGAGAATTAAAAAAAAAAAAATAAAAAATAAAAAAAGGGAAAAAAAAAGCCTCCAGGAAACCAGAGCAGCTTCCCCCACTCCCTCGTGATTGTGCCTGCAAAAGGAGGCAGAATATTCTAATCGCTCTTTCTGGTCTGAAATCAGTGGGCCCTGTCCAATGCGATCGTTTTGTCTTTACTTCTACAGGTACAGTATATGGAACACATGGGAGACGAGGGAGGCAAACTTACACCAGATACCAAACGCTAGAGTTAGAGAAGGAATTTCATTTTAACAGATACTTAACCCGAAGACGACGTATTGAGATTGCAAACGCTCTCTGCCTTACTGAACGCCAGATTAAAATATGGTTTCAAAACAGGCGGATGAAATGGAAAAAGGAAAACAAATTCATAAATTCCACACAGCCCAGCAGCGAAGAAACAGAGGAAAAGTCAGGGGAGTAGAACCACGTTTAATAAACGCTACCAGGCCTTTCCTTAGCGCTTACTACTACTGCTATTATTATTATTATTTACCTTGTGTTCCTTCTGCTACTGAAATCCTATAGGTTTGTCACAGTCTATTAATCCCCAAAAGGCTTGGTTAAAAGATGTATATTTGCAATCATCTGTGACTTACTCTAATATATGTGGAAGCCCCAGCTTTCGAGCTACAGGCATGTATGTATGTAACCACCTTCCTAAAGCGTATATGGCGTCGGTTAAAGCATTAGAGAATTGGCCCAGAATTTTAAATGTTTGAGATTAGCATCTCAAATGGGTGAGTGGGTGGGTGTCCCTGGTGTGCTTGTGTGAGAAAAGATAAGCAAATAATTTTTTATCCTTTTTTTTTTTTTTTAATTAGAAATGCTTATATTGTAGAAAGACAAGAGATTTTAGAAAATATTTGGTTTATGGTTTTGCTAGCTCCCGTTACGGCGGGCCATCTCGTTATTCTGTGTTTGGGAGTTTATGATCCGCAGGGGAGAAAAAAAAATTTAGTTATGTATAAGATATTTAAATAGCAAAAGGAAGAAAATTTCTTTTAAAAAACGTTGTATAAATCCCTGTGTATAAACTTTCAGTTAAAGCAAAGATGAATTGCAGGGAGATTTTTTTTTTTTTAATGCCGCTAAACTGCATAGTCTGCACTATAGAATTAAAGTAAAAACTCGGCGTTAAACTTCAGGGGAAGCGAGAGAAGAGGTTTCGAAGTGGGCAATTTTTTGTGGTTCCCGTTGAGCTTACGCTAAGGTTTTGGTGAGCTCAGCTCTGCACTGAGGGGGCTTTGAATTATGGACTACATTTCTTGGAGCTTCGTGAGCTTAGATCGATCTTTTTTCCTTTTATCTTTCTTTCTTTCTCTCTTTCTTTCTTTCTTCCTTCCTCCCTTCCTTCCTCTCCTTCTTATTTGAAGAAAAGATCTTATTAACTTGGGGATTTTCTTTCCTGCTTCTGCGGTATCTTAATTCACATTCGCATTACTTAGCACTGGAAAAAATAAATTGATACTTTGAAGAAAAATAGCTGCCATAAAATGCTTCCACTTCGAGATTTGTAAAAGTAAAATAAGCGCAGAAAAAATATTGATTAATATATATGTTGTATCTCTCATTGCGTGCGCATGAGTGTGTATGTGAAGCTGTGTACAAATGCACTTGTATACGCATCGAGGCTCTTTTGTCTGAAAGGCAGCACAATTTGGGCTACCACTCTAAATGTTTTAAAAGCCAGATCTGGAGAATATAATGCAAAATGGCTACCACCGCATTTAGAGGATTTTTTTCTCTCCCAGAGGCGATGAAATAGCGGCAGCCGTAAAGTCGCCTGGAATCTGACCCCCTAGTTGGAAAAAACGCTGCACGATATTCATCTTTAGCAGATATCTGCCATTTCACATCGGCAGGACCCGGCTGCCTCTCGAAAGCTCCGGCACGGGAATAGGTGTGGGGAAAATTATACATCTATGTATATATGTGTAGAAGGGACACAAGCCTTGCCAGCACCCGAGAACGGATGGTATAGGATTTGTGAACCGGTGTAAAAAAGCCCCGCACGGAGGAGCAGGCAGGCACAAAGCGGAGCTCTCTCCGCACACCCGGCTCGGAGGAGCAATGCCCGCCAGCCCCGCAGCCTCTCCGCCGCTGCCGCTGCCGCTGCCGGTGGCGGCGAGCCCCGCTCCGCTCCGCGCCTCTCCGCGCGGCTCCGCGCCGCCGTCGGGGGCCGTCACCCCGGGCCGACCCCGCGGAGCCGCCGCCATCCCCCGCGCCGCCAGCGGGTGGCGCTGGAGGCCGGCGGACGGGCGGGCGGCGGCGGCGGCGCGCACGGGAGGCGCGCCCCGGGCCGCCCGCGCCCTCCCAGCTCCCCCACCAGTGCACGAGTTTACCTCTAGAGGTCATCAGGCAGGATTTACGACTGGACAACAAAAGCACGTGATGTGAAGCCGTACCCCATATTTGGGTGCCTACGTAGGAGGGAACCAAGTACATGTCCCAGTCATTTCCATAATTCATCATAAATTGTGCAAGGGTGCTATAGACGCACAAAACGACCAAGAGCCACAAATCAAGCACACATATCAAAAAACAAATGAGCTCTTATTTTGTAAACTCATTTTGCGGTCGCTATCCAAATGGCCCGGACTACCAGTTACATAATTATGGAGATCACAGCTCGGTGAGCGAGCAATACAGGGACTCCGCCAGCATGCACTCCGGCAGGTACGGATACGGCTACAATGGCATGGACCTCAGCGTCGGGCGCTCTGCTTCCACTCACTTTGGTGCCAATGAGAGACCCCGCAGTTACCCGGCCAACACCACCTCTGCCTCGACAGAGCCCAGGTACAACCAGCCCGCGACGTCTTCCCACTCGCCTCCCCCTGACCCTCTGCCCTGCACCGCCGTGGCCGGTTCGCCAGTCAGCGAGAGTCACCACGGGGTGAAAAACTCCCTCGCCAACTCCACCAGCACTTCGTCCAATTCCAGCAGCAACACGCACATCAGCAGAGACGGGGTTGGCACCTCGTCTGGGACTGAGGAAGACACTCCAGCAAGCAGCGAGCAGGCAAGTGCCCCGACCGACCAAAGCACAGCCCAGCCTTCACAGCCCCAGATCTACCCCTGGATGCGAAAACTGCACATAAGTCATGGTAAAGCAAATACCCTGTTCTTTCTTTATTTCTCTGGAGGAAAAGGAGGATTTAATGTAAACCGGGTGGCTGCGCCGAGCAAGGTCGGGGAGAGGGGGAGAGGAGGGCGTGAGAGCGGGCAGTCTCCCCGCACACCACAACTCTGATCGCAGGGAAGCACGCTCCCTTCTCTGGGCGAGTCCCCCCCGAAAGGAAAAAAAAAAAAAACCTCTCGGCCCCGAAAACACCGCCCGCCTGGCTGCCAGCGCCGGCGGGGGGAGTGCAAGGCGCCTTGCCGAAGGGAGATCGGGAGCAGAGGCTGCTCCCGGCTCTTCTCTGAATGGGGGCTCTTCCAGTGGGAACGGCGCGCTGACCCCATTTATTTTGCTTAGACATATTAAAAAGAGAATAGGAAAGGGCGAGAAGGGCAGTTTTCACTGCTGGGAAGCCGTGGGGGAGGGGGCAGGGCGAGTCGCCCCAAACTCGGGGTAGAGGGCTCGAGGGGCAAAGCGGGAGAGCAAAGCAACTTCCAGCCCCGGGTACCTGCCCTGCCCTCGCTGCCGGGAGAGCGGCCGGAGGCTCGCTGCCTCCCAGAGCCTTCCCCAGCTCAGCCGTGGGAAAGGGCTGCACGCTTCAGCTTTGCTCTCTGAGCTCTGAAAACCCAGCTATCAGCAGAGACATCCTCCAAATCAGCTTATCTGGGGGAGGCATGGGGGAGAACTAACCTTATCAAAAAATTATATTAAAAAAAATAAAAGAAACTGAAAAAAAATAAATTAGAAAAAATCGAATCGTAAATCCAAGCGAAAACTTACAGAGACTACCAAATCCCCCTCCCCCAAGCCTTTCCTAAGAGGGGCTGGAGGGGGAAACTTGTTGAGCGTTTATCCAAACCAGAAACAAAACCAAAGCAGGACTGAGAATAACGGTCCTGGTTGCTGGTAGCTGCAATGAGACACGAAGGCTCCGAGAGGCTGCTGAGAATCTAAATCATGTACTTTTCTCTTCCAGACAACATAGGGGGACCAGAAGGGAAAAGGGCTCGGACTGCTTACACCCGCTATCAGACCCTGGAGCTCGAAAAGGAATTTCACTTCAATAGATACCTGACCCGCAGAAGAAGGATTGAAATAGCACATGCTCTTTGCCTCTCAGAGAGACAAATAAAGATCTGGTTCCAAAACAGGAGAATGAAATGGAAAAAGGATAATAAGCTGAAAAGTATGAGCATGGCAGCTGCAGGAGGGGCATTCCGTCCCTAAGCGTTTGATCAATTAAAAGTACTGAGCAGTATTAGCTGACCCTGCGTCGTCTCATGTCAGTACTAAGTTGACTTTCTAAAACTTCCTTGTGTTACTTCTGTGAAGAAACCCTGTTCTTGTCGCCCTTATTCATCTTTTAATCATGAGCCTGTTTATTACCATTCTCTCGCGTGTATAAGTAGATCTGCTTTTATCGTACATTTCTTTGTCTTGAATGGCTTTGTCTTGAAAAAAATAATAGATGTTTTAACTTATTTATATGAAGCGAGCTGTGTTACTTGAAGTAACTGTTAAAACAAAACAAAACTCAACAAAAAAGAACAAAAAGGAAAAAAAATAAGTTAAAAAAAAAAGGAGAGAGAGAAAGGAAACCCTCCCCCGGTTTAGTACAAATGTTATGTGTTGCACTCAACCTGCTTAACTGTGCATGTGTGGTCAAGTGTTAATGTCTGTATAGCTCCAAGCTGTTAAAAATATTTTTATTCAAACTACCTATATAATTCCTGTGTAATTAATGCTGTTGTAGAGGTGAAATGATGAAATCAACTGAACTTGTCCTACGTGTAGTGAATAGTGAATCTGTGACGAAAACTGTGATTCCAAGCAGTATGTCCTTGCTGTGCCTTTGTATATGACTCTTTGCACGAACTCTTAGAAGTGGCTCTTATTAAGCGCAGCTTCTGTGATGTATGTTTTTTGTGAACAAAGTTACAAATATAGTCAAAGTCTGGCTGTTTGAGCAAACTGTGATCAGCTTTTTTTTTTTTAATTATTATTATTATTATTTGTTTTTAAAAAAACCTGACTGGAAATCAACAAAAAAAATAAACTTTCTATTGTAAAGTTTTTGTGATCTGATTTGTGCAAAGCAAGAAGTTGTGCTTCCTGATTTGCCTCTGAAAAAGAAAAAAAAAAATTAGCCCGTGCAGAGTTTGTTGTAATATTTTACCTGGCTCCTGCTGCACGTTGCGTATGGTGGATGCTGCAATTGTCCGCTACCAGTATTTTTAATTGAAAGTTTGACCATAAGTTCTTCCTTACTTGTTTCTCGCTAGGTGGAAAGCTGCATCGCAGGACCACAATCAACACCCTTTGTGGCTGAATCAACTGTTAACTGTTTGCTGATGGTTGAAATTAAAAAAAAAAAAAAAAACACCACAAAAAAAAAAATCAAACCACAACCCAAACCCCAAAACATGTGCTTTGTTAAAATAAGCTGCGAACTCCAGGGTGTGTTTGCATCGCTCTAGAATTTCTCCTGTGGTTTCATTAAGTATATTTTAGGACAGCCATGTCCAAGCCCTCTGCGCCTATTAGTAATCCTCTCTAGCCACATTCCCACTCTTCACCCTTTAAAGATTTTTGGTTTTCTTCGCTAGAATTAGTTTGCTATAAACGTAATGTTACTTACCCCATCAGAGCTTGAATGGTTAACTCTTCTGAGCTTCTAAGAGCAACTAAAGATTTGCACATTTACTGACTGGTTACATTGATGCCTTCCCTTAAAAGTTATAAAACAGTAAACTTTATAAGCCCCAGTTCCGGCTATATGACATTTGGGTGCCAAATGAATAGGGTTTTGTCTATGAATTAGATCGTAAAATCATCCATAGCACAGACAGATAGGCTCACTGGCTATAAAAAGTCACGTGGTGCCATTAAAGTAAGTTTTATGGTTTTGGGGAGTTGACATCCAACATTATATACCACATAACATATAATCTCACTGACGCTGGACTTCATTTGACTCTTTTGCAGGCTACGTGTGCCTCCTGGCCATTCAAATTGTCAGGTTTAGGGACAGAAGTATCCAAACCACAAGTTCTCAGTACTATGTGAAAAATGGCTCCTTGCAAGTCAAAGGTAAGTTTTGTGCACAAGTTCCTTAAAGTTTATTTGTACAGTGGGGAAGCCGAGGTTCCTGCTCGCTCTCGCTGCCTCTCGCCTCTCTCTTTCTTTCTCTTTCTCTTTCCCTTCCTCTCCGCCTGGAGGTTTTCAGGACGGTCCCACCGAGCCCGAGAGGCAGGATCAAGCACTAATGATCCAGGTTGCGCTGCAAATACCTCCCCCCATCCCTTCACTCGCAGCAGCTAGCTCTCTATTTTAACGATCAAATCAAAGTAAACCACAATAAGCGACTTTGGCAGAGATGGATTTTGGGGCCTAGCTTTAATCACTTTGACTACCGCAGAAGATAATTACTTCCTTTGCTCCAATAGACTCTCCAAGTTTGGAGAGGTTTTGTTTAGCAAAGAGTAGTTACTGCAGGCGATTAAAAAAAAGGGAGAAACAAAATAGATTGGGCTTGATATTATCTGGGCAGTATCTTATGGAGGCATGATAGAGTTGGAGGCGTGATGATATGGTAATAATCTTTGGATTGGTGAAATATGCTGCACATCAGAGCCAGTATTAAAATGGCACAGACTGTACTGGAGTGTTTAGATACATATTTTCTGCGTTGGGTTATGCAGAAAGCTTTAGCTGTGTGTATATGCGCATCTGTGAGTGCGTAGTGTGTTTTGGGGATGCGCTTTTATAACACTGCTGTAACTTTTTCCCGGTTCTATACGTAACTGCAGAAATAGAAATGTATTTAAATTATATTCATGTGTGCCTGCATGTACAAACCAGTTTGTACTTCTATGTAAAGCCGTGCAGATGCCTATATGTGTCTAATATTGGTGTATTCATGTACACAAAGGGTGTGTACGTGGGTACACATATATATGTTCCTGTGACTTCCTTTTTTTTTTTTTTAAGCGAACCAATTGACTGTAACTTGTAGCATTAATACAAGAGACTACAGGTCATTAGAGTGCTGCAAATTATGAAATACGGGCTTGGTTTATTGAAGATTGTAAATATCCCCCTAGCTCTGCTCTCTCCCTTTCTGCCTTATATTGCTGGCTGCCATTGTGGGGTAGGCCCCAGCTGCGTGTTTACTTCAACATTCTTTTTATTTAAGTGGACTGTTCTCACTAGAGTGTGATTACTCAGCAATAAACTTTATGGCCGGATTTAACTTCAGTCTTTGAATTTCCAGGACTTGAATGAAAGGGTGAAAGGAACTCTGTCTTTCTCTGGGTAACATTAAGGCCTGATCCTTATCCTCAGAGCTGTTACTTTGGCGAGTGATCTCGGGGGGTATAAACAGACTAGTCAGGGGCCATGGTAGAATTCTGAGAATTGCCTATTATCTATCTATCTATCTATCTATCTATCTATCTATCTATCTATCTATCTATCTATCTATCTATCTCTCCAAACCAGTTGTGGGTACCTCTTTCTCTGCATAGGTTTGGAGTAACATTGATTCAGCAGATTGCATTGTTTTCTTTTATGTGTCCTAAAGTCGGGTTTGCAAAAGAATGGAGTGGTTTGATGTGAGACAGAGATGGGCTTTGTTTTATTTCGCTAGTGCTATGTCATTTGAATGTTGTGGTTTAGGCTGGTTTGGCTACTGTGAGCGAAAATGGTAGAAAAACACAGGGTTTTAGGAGGGTAAGGTTGTTGTGTACCTCTGCAAATTCTGCATATTGCTGACTGACCCCTATTTTTAATTTATTAGTCTTTAAAGAAATGGTAGTATCTAAGGTAGGTTCATCCCAAAGAGCTCAGTTTTAAAAGCATTTAATATTTAAAGTCAACCCTTGCGGAAGATAAATAGAGTCTGATGCCTTTGTGTCTGTCGATCCTTCCTGTCAGCACTAAACAAACACATCTGCATATATTTCATATTAAAAAAAATGAGAAAGGCTTTAAAAGAGCATATCCAAATGCACATTTGAAAATCATTTCCTTTTAAACAGCTGGAGATTTTATAGTACTCTACTTGACACATTTTCGTCAATAGGAATATCAGAAAGTTGTATATGATAGGCATGTATTATATTATACTATATGCCATAAAATTTTATAGTTTGAGGCAAGGCATGAAAAACCCTTAAAAGTTTGGTCTTCATTTATATATAGGTCGTTTTCCAAGGAAAACCCTTTGCTTGTAGACGGGAATGATACCAGACACAAACAGCTCATGATTACTCAGTATTTAACAACACTGACCTATTTGAATTAACTGGCTAATATACAAGTACGCACCGACGCCCGTTGGACTAATATTTTAGGATCCTGGATATCATCCTGGATTGTAATTTTTCATTGCCTAGAGTGAAAAGATTTGCTACTGTGTATTTTCCACATTTTTGAATGTGGCTTCTGGACCATATCCCACACAAAACAATGTACAGTCGTTCAAGAACTATGGAAAAGAAAAATATCCCTAGGTCCAGAAGCGTATGAGCCCGCCTGTACTGCAAAAAACACTAGCAACCAAAGAAAGTTAGCTAGAAATCACAACTTCACCCTGTTTCTGGCCCTGCCCTGTATTAAGCATCGCAGTTGAAACCATTCAAACACAGAAATGCGTTAAGATTTCCTAATACGCTCTGAAATTTGAAATTCAAACGAGCCCAGACTGCCGAACTCTGCGAAAATAGTCCCAGATCCGAATTGTTTTCCGAGGGAAAATGTCGTAGGAAACTATACCTGAGAATCAGGAGAGAGGTTTTATCTGCGCACCTTATTTTTCTGATGAGTTTAGGGGATTGATAAATGCAAGGTTTTTTCTATTTTAAGAATGGCACGTTGCGTTCTGCGATTTGAAATACAGTTTACTTAATCCTTTGAAAGAAATACTTGCAGTGTCTCATGTCTAAGTGTAAAAACCAATTAAAGATTAGGCAGCTCCCTTAATGTGTGGAACTGGTGACTTTGCAAGACTTAACTTTCTCTTAACCAGGAGTGTAACAATCCAATGGAAAGTCATCCGTAAATTACAGCTCTGCAGCCTTGTCTAAACTATGCAAATGCCCTAATTTCAGAACAAGGAGATTATTATTCTGCCGTTTCCTTACATGTAATAAGTGTGTATCTGTGGAAAGGTGACAATAGAGGAGTTTGCAATTTGCTCCATGGGAAATTGAATGGAACCGATCATGAGGGGGGAGATCAGGAGGTTTCGATTTCTAACGCTGAATACGGGAGCAATGAGTTTTCCCTCCCCGTAAATACAGATTTGACGCATTTAATGCAGACACGAGTAAATCTCCTGACCAAGTTAAGATGTCGTTGGCTTTCTTAGTCCTTTCTCTTTCTGCCCTCAAAATCTCCCGGATTTGAGGCTAGGGTCACTAGCTAGAGCGGAAAACCACAGTTCCCACAATCTTCTGGTCATCTTTGAAGATATTATCCCTTTCAAATTAAAGCATCTTCACTAATGTCTCTCTGTAAGGCAAATACTCATGGACCACCCCGGTCACATGTTCCTGTAACTATGCGCACCAACAATTTCAAATCTGACACAGAGATCGTGTAAAATTTGCATGGATTTTGCCTTATAAGACGCAAAAGGAATCTTTTCTATATCCCCTCCCCCCAAAAAATGTCTTTTCAATAATAATATTTGCTATGAAGGTTATTGGGTAATTATTGCAATTTTGTGGAACAGTCCTTGCTTGAGGTGAAGTCTGTCTCCGGATAATAAATGGCAGCCCGTGCAGTTCACTGCCAGGTTAAGTAAATGCAGAAAAGATAAATCTGCACACCCTAGGAATCACCAGCAGAGCTCGCTTTAGACCAAGTTCACAGTCAACTCGTTTGCCTAGACAAGGCTTCGCAAACAATTAGACTTGTTTCTTTATGCTTAAATCAAGGAGAAATGACTAAAACCCTTCAGCAGAGAGCTGCAGCTTTTCCCCCAACGCTCGTCGTTCCATTCCTTCCAACCTCACGCCC